CTTCCAAGGGAAGTGGTGCTGGCCCCTACCCTGGGGGTCTTTAAGAAGAGGCTGGATGCCCACCTAGCTGGACTCGTTTGAGTCCCATTTCTCTTTTTGGGGTTTTTGTTGTTCTCCCGCCCTGGCGGGGGGTCGGGCTAGAAGATCTACTAGGTCCCTTCCGACCCTTAATCTATGAATCTATGAATCTATGAATCTATGACATATTACAATGACAGGTGAGAGGGAAAACAAAGAAATTCAAGCTGTATGTTGGCCTGGATTGCCCCCACTGAGTCACCTTGATTGTATACTTTTGCTTAATCTTAAAGAGTTACTTCTGTAAATACCGAAAGAAACTAATGCAGTAGGGGATCTAGAAGCCCTACACATGTAGTTCACTGGCATGCAGAAATGTATCATGAATATTTTCTAAGAAAATTCTCTCCAAGAGGAGGAATATGCAATATCCACAGTGGTTACCATTATATCTTTCCAATCAAAGGGGAGACCCAAAATGAATACTACATGTCATACATTTACTTCACTAGGGATGGGAGTTGAATGGGAAAAGTACAGGGAAAAAAATTTCCATGGATATTAGCATGTGCATTAAGCACCAGATTACAGCCATTTTTTTCCTTTCCTAGGAAACTTTTTCCATTATTGGAGTTTAAGCTTTCACTAATTTGTCATTTGTTTTCTTTCACACAACAGCAAAACCCAGAGCAAACTAAATGACAAAGTGATGTTCATGAGACTTAAAGGGACAAATATTACATCTCATACCATTTCTCCCACAACATGGCTATGGAACCTGTTATATGATATGCATATAATGCATGATGCATTATGCATTATTTGACCAATTATGTTACTTCCTCTCCCCTAAGCAGATCCACACTCTAGAGTACCTAGATCTCTCCCCAGCCCTATAGATCACATAAGCTAGGACCTCCCCAAAAATCACTTCTGCAGTGCTGTCCCATAAAAAGTTGGCCAAAAACTTAGTGAGAGCAGGAGTAGTAACTACTTTTCCCTCCCAGACCCTGCTGACTCCTTCTAATGAAAGCAAACTCTTGAATCAACTGTGAATCTTCACTGTATATGATGCTTTGCTAAAAGACCAAGTTCATGGATTACACTGACTAAACGAGAAACTGAACTTCCATTTTTTAAAAAAGTTTGTAGGTCTTGCAGTTGTGAAGCAATAGAACCTTAAAGGATCAAAGGCAGAAAGCTAATGAAAGAGTGGGCTCCAGGATTTTTGGGCCAATCTTCTGACTTTGGGGAGCCTGAGGCCTGATTCTTAAATGGTAGGAACTAGCCGCTTTTACAGTAGTTTTTTTCAGGGGGTTGTAGAGAGGTACGGGGAACATCTGATGATTATGGAAATGAAGGAGATCAGAGAGTTTATAATCTGAATGAAAAAGGAACTTTCTCCTCCTAACTTCTCCCCCTCTCCTCTATCTGCAAGAAGCCTGTGTACATTGCACTGCATCTTCTCAGTGACAGGGTATCAAAGCACACTTTGGGTACCAAATAAATACATTGCTTAAATATTTAAACAAGACAGACTGAAGGACAAGAAAAATGCTATTTGCCAGGATCTAAGACAATACAGACTCATTTTCTCCTCATGTGGCTGAAGTTACAAATGAAACAATCCTGGCAGTTAAGCATTGCAATTGGCAGGCTTTAGTCAAAAGCTACTCAAGGCTGGAACAGCAAGGGTGTTTGCCATAAAGAATAACCTGCCATAGCTGAACAGACCCATCTGTATTAACATAAGAAGTGCCACATTGTGTCAGACCACAGATCCAGCATCTTGTATCTAAGTGGAGAGAGTGGATATCAGGAGAAAGTATTTATACAGGGCCCGTCCAAACTTACTTGTCTTTCTGATCTGTTCTCTTACAGTTTCCAGCATTCAGGAACCCTAAAAGTCCTATTTTGGACAAAGCAGTCCTACCTATTCTACATAATACCCACTGATGGACCTATCCTGCATGTATCTGTCCAGTCTTCTTTTGAACCCAATTACATTATCAGCCTCTACAATATTTTGTGGCAATGAGTTCCACAAGTTAATTACACAACATGTAAGAATAAAAAAAATAATTAAACCTGTTTAGTAGCAATTCAATTGTATGTCTCCTACCAGAAGGGACTGAGTGGGGGGCAGGCAGGGGCTGAGGTTCTGGAGTGAGGGGCACAGGTGGGGCTGTGGGTTGGGAGTGAGGAGCAAGGGCATAGGCAGGGGAAGGGCACCAACATATCAGTGCTGCTCAGCTCCACAAAGTAGCTGCAGTTCCAGTTGCAGCTGTCCCCACATCCTGGTGAGCAAAGCGGGCAAAGGCAGCTCTGATTTTTCTATGATATAAAAACCCAAAAGTAAATGCCAAAGTGCATAGATATTTATAATTAATTTTATGATGATGAGAAAGGCACTGGTAGGCTTCCAAACTGCTTTAAAATTGTACATATATCAATAAAACATTGCCCAACTGATTTATCTTAATATATAGTAGCATTTAATTTTAATCTAGGGAAAACATAGTTTTTGTGCATTTTAAAGAGAGATTTTGGGTTTTTTAAAGAAAAGAATTTGAAATTTTTAAACAGGGATCATCAGAATCTCTCCTAGTGAGGCAAAGGGTGGGACACAGGCAGAGGAGCCTGCCTAGGGCCAGCACTGGGGACCCAGCTGGAGGGCAGATAAGGTGACTGACCTCTAGGCCATTTGGGGCCAGGAGGACACGCTTCGACAGTTCAAAGTGGGCCACCACAATGAGCACATCTTCCAGGCGATAGCTGCCCAGATGGCTGGGGGCACCAGAAGACATGACAAGTGCCCCAAAGGCGAACTGTATAGCCATGGCCCACTGGCAGCTGACCCAAAAATGCAGGTGGCTCTGCTGCAGTACCCATACCACAGCCCAGGCACCCATGCGGTCCCCATCCGGGGCTGGCAGGCGCGCAGCCATAGGGCCACAAGTCCAAGGGTACAGATGCTGTCACAGGTGGCAGCAGGTCACAGCCAGGCAGCACCCCCTCCCGTCATACTGCTGGAGTGTGTAGAGGGTGCAGGGGCCACTCTGGGTCAGAGCAGCTACAACAGTCCAGTTGGCACAAGGGGCTTGTGTCCCCAGAGACCAACTGGCTGGGCCTCAGAAGCTCCTGAGGGCAAGTAGCCCTGTGCTGCTTGCCAGAGCAGCTTTTTATACTGCTGGAGCCAGGACAGACACTGGCCCCAGCCTCTAGTGCTCCCCTGGCTGAAGATCCAAGGTTAGTTTGCCCCAAGTGGCACAATTTGCCCCACATCAAAGTGCACATTCAGGTACGTGTGCTGAGGTACAAATCTCCAGTACAATTTGTCCCACTGCTATTTAAGCTGCTGCAAGTGCACAGCCCTGCACGTGTGGACATCCACAGAGCTAAATCCAGAAAAGCACAGAACTCTCTCCCTCAATCCAACCAAGCACTTAAGTACATGATAAATTCTAAAAAGACAATGAAATGTTTAAATATGTTTAAAGACAAATGTGCATTGAAGGCCTTGGCTATATTTGGTCAAAGGACTCTGTGCTATGCAGGATTGGGCCCTGAAGCCCTATACGTGTTCACAGCTATGACTCGGTAAAACCTGCAGTGGCAAGTAAGTATTGCCTTCTCTTCCCAAGTACTTAAAATGAAAACAAATGAACACAAACTTTTGGGCATACTTTTGACACTTTTCAGCCCTCAATTCGGTAATGCTTGTTTGTAAACATTCTCCTCTTGCAAAAAGGGCTGTTTTAAAAGTTAAAGCTGTTGCACTGTATTTCTTGAAGAAATGACTCTGGAACTAACAGCTATTAGACATCATTGCAACTACTGTTAAAGAAAAATATTCATTTTATTAGCATAGCTAATAAACAGCTAAGGGAAACCTGCAAAAATAATCTATGCATCAAACAGGGCTGCCCCATTATCTTTCTTTCCCCTTTTTTGGTAAGGCGTACATTTTTTAGCATGTATTCCCCATGTGTAGAAGCATGGCAAATCCCTCATGGAACTGAGCTGTGCACCCTTTGCTGCCTGCAAAATAAGTCTTCTTTTGTTCAGAAACAGCTATTAAAAACAATGTATTTAAGTTTTTAGACAAAAGAATGTTTATTTTCCATATATCAGAATGCCCTGCAAACTGAGTTTTAAAATAATGTAACTGTTGGAAAGCTATTTTCAAACTACAATATGGGCAAATCATGCTTTTACTGAAGGATTCTTAGCACTTCCCTGAACTTCCCCTTAATAAACAACAACAGGAGCTGTGGAAACATCAAGAGACAGCTGGAAATATTATGTTATCTACAAAAGATTCCATAGGAATCTCAATCTGTATCCAAGAAAGATTCTGTATCTAGGAAAGTCCATGTGGACTTTGAGCTTTACAGAAACCTTTCTAAATACTTGATGTGGAATTCTAGTTACTTCCCATTGCTATTCCTATTAGATACTTATTTTTGGCTTACCATGGATTCACTGATTAAGAGGAGAAGAAGAGCCTCTTCTATGTTGTCTTGAGGGCAGTACAGGCTGAAAGAGAAAAAACACATTTTTATAAGCAAGGCTACAAATTAGCCCATCAGTCTCTATTTTAATGTCACAAGAGGACCAGTAACTTGAAACACCTCATGCATGATTCATTTGCTATACAAAACCTCCTTTTCCAGAAGCACACAATTAAAAGCTCTAGAGAGTGCATCTAAAGCAAACTATTTTGACCCAGCATTACATGAATCCCATCCTGCAAATAAGGCAGCTATTTGGGCAGAATCTTCCTTCATGAGAAAATTTAATAGTCTGGATTTGGGAAGTTTAGGTTTTGTCAAAAGGCCTTTTGATTAGAAGCTTTTAAAGAGCTAAACAAAAAACAAAACAAATAATCCCACATGCAACAGAACTATATGAGCCAATAAGTTAATAGGAAGTGCCAAGGTAAACTTCAGACACACTTTTCCTTTTCACATAGAAACCAAAACAAAGGAGCTATACTTACTTGTCTCCTGTATAGAGCTGAGGTCTTCGACATAGAAGATTGCTAACATAAGAGTCATCTTCCTTGTTCATGAACTCTGGCAGAGGCTCAGACAAGGGGCTCCAGTAGCAGTCCTCACTCAATGAGTGGAGAAGTACTTCAGCTAACTGTTTGGCTGCAGTCTAAAGACCAATAGAAAACACAAGGAAATATCAGAAGGACTTTTTCACACAGAAGAATGACACCTCCATCTCACATCATGGGACAATTTTGGTACCAGAAACATTAAGGACTCAGTTTTCATAGGGCTGAGCACCCAAAACACCAAAGCTACAAACAGCTATATTTTTTATCCCAGGACAAAATGCAGTCATTCAGACATCTGTCTGTTGTCCTGGAATAAATCTGGAAACAGTTCACAAGATAAAAAGTACTAACAGTTTATCTGGGACCTCATGAATTGCATCTGAATGGATGTCCTAGGATTGCATCATTGAATCAATGGTGGAAAATGGTAGTGCATTCAGCCACTCACTAAACCCTGATTAGAAGGGTAGTGTGTGTACACACCAATTCCAGGATATTTTTGTTTCAGTTGTGAGGAGAAGAAAGGGATATGTTAATTCTCATGACTGAGAAGCAGTCCCCTTAATGATACCCAAGGCTCCATCTGTTCTGCGGCTATTACCATGTTAGGATGCAGTTGCACTCTAACCACCTTCAGCTTTATCCAGCTGAAACTGTATCCACTCGTCTCAGCTCAGGGGGGAACATACATGCATCTAAAATTAAAGGACCACGCCTTCAGCTACTGGAGAGGTACAGAAGACCACAAGAGAGAGGCAAGAAATTTCAGTATCATCATTCTTTTTTTTTTCTTCAATAACTTCAGAATAATTTTGAACCAGGGCAGAAACCTGACATGGTCTTCCTTGTCTAGTACAAAGGTCCTTACACCTCTCACCTCCTACCCCAACATCTACAACATAAGGGTATATCAGAACCTGGCCCAAGAGGTACAATACAAACAAATGAAAGTGTCTATAGCAACATTAGCTTTGGTATTTCCATTGTTGAAGTGTATCCAATGCATCCCATTGATTTTTGCTTAGGATGCCTATATAATACACTTACGGTACTTCTAGTATTTTGGGCATTGAAATGCATGGAATTTTTACAGCTAAAACTACGTGTATATTTATATATGAAGTATACTAACAAAACCAGCCCTTGCTGCTCCACATTATGTATTATGTGTAGAATGTTGTGTGTCTCACTTTTTTAATTCTATTTATAGAGAAAGCAAGAATCAGTATATACTACACGCACACCTTTTTTCCAGTCTTTCTCCCTTTCTCTCAGACCAGTTTATACATATATGGCAAACAGGCACACAAATTATCTGCAAAATTGTGTGGAAGAATAAGACCTGATTTCATATTATAGTTCATATGTAAATGTAAATATATACCTATATGGTAACATAGCAATCCTAGTTGCTCCTCCCCACATACTATAAAGTAAAAAACATTGGGAATGAAACCTCTGACCTCAATCATGTTTATTTCTAACTATGGAAAGTTCCTATTAACAGACTCCCAGTAAAACAAAAAGTAAAGGCTATGGAATTAGTTTGTTTCCTCATTCAACATCTCATACAAGAAATCATACTGTTAAGTTCAGATGCCATAGCAGTAACATAGTGTTTCTGGAATACTGGAAAGATACGTTTCATTTCTATACCCATGGCCAACTGGTTTAAACGGCTGACATTGCTGCAAAGAAATATTACTGCATACAATTCCTTGGAAACCTTTATACCTCCATGCACTCCTAACAAACAACAGAAAGTGCTCTGCTAGTAACTAGATTCCTCTACACTTTTTAAAGCATGTAAACACAAGCAAAATAGTCTACAGTACTGTGGCATTAGCCAATATCATTTTAAAATACCAGCATGTAATTTCACCTGAAGGCTTCAACTCCTCTACATTTTTCCCCCAAAGCCCTGGAGGGGGGTGGGGAAACTGTACACGTAGCAGAAAGATCTCTTCCACACTATGTGGAACTATAATTATGTTTTGGGATAAAACGCTCCAAAAAACTAGCCCCAAATGCTTTCAGTCTGCTTTGATTTTAATGTATGGTACAGAAGAGGCACAGTAAATCAATTTCACTTTTGTTTTGAATAAGACCAAACAAATTATAAGTCTCTGATTTACATTATTACTGCCTTTGGCTTCTTTTTTTTTTTCTTTCTTTCTTTCTTTTTTATTTTAAGGTTTATTTTACTTAGAGTGCACTATCAACCTAAGTAAAAATATGCTCACATTTCATTTTAGTGATTGGAAAACTAGCTTCATTAAGTATACTCCTGCCTTGCCTCCTACTCCCCTTGGTCTACCACACATTTAAAACCAAACTGCAGTTAAACAAAACTGTAGGGAGAGCTGTGGGACAAATACCTCTTCATCTTCCCTTGGAAATGTATCCCACCCATGTGGCACAGCTCTTCCCATGAGCACAGAGAAGGAAGAAGCCAAACACCATTCACATTTTAGAAACAGCAGATGGCTGTTTATACTCACTAGGCCTTAAGAAATGACATAATGGGTGGACAATAAAATCTCCAGAATGCTGATCTCCATCTAGGATGCAACTGGATCATGCCAGCACGTAGTATATATTTTTTTAAAAAGATACCCATTTCAATTCCCGGCATAAGCTCCCAAGTGCATCCAAAGTAGCAACAAAACTTAAAATGCACATGGCAATCATGAGACAACCTGAAAGGCCACCACAGCCTGGATGGGGAAGTCCCAGAACAATACAGTTAGGTGACGGATCTGATAGACTCAGGAAGGCATATATGCACAGATGCTCATTCTCCTGAGCCCTGACTTTGTAGAGGCACCTTCAGATGAAGTTGTCCTTTGAACCTTGGCACTTCCTGTGCCTAAGCTAATATGTGAAAAGCACAGCCCTCCCCCACACCCCCTTTCCCTCTCTACCCACTCTCTCCCCTGGACTCATTTTGAATCAAATACATAGTCTCACAAAGCTAAGTCAACTTAAGGCTAATGTAGCCAACCAGTCCCTAGTAACATTACATGACCTAGACTTTACAAGTTTCTAGATATTTATCGGTGATCAACAAAACAAACAATAGCTGTCATATTAATAACTGATCCATCCTAAGCAATATACTTAGGTAACTACCAGGCATCACAGAGATAAGGATCCATATAAGAATAATGGGACAGATGCATTTTGGGACTAGGTTAGAGACCATTAGTTAGAGACACAACATTAAAATTTTCCATTATTTAATTTTTTTCATTTTTTAATATTGAGTATTTAATGACTGAAGCACAAATATAACCCAAAGAATAAAAACCTGATGGCATATCCACAAACGTTCAGCTATTCAGTAACATGAATGTATGTCCATTTGTAGGCGGCCCGTGAAATGAGAACGCACAAAATATCGTTACTTAGAAGAGAGCTTTACAGAAGGAAAAAAAAATGTACCAATTTAAATCTAAAAGCACTGTTTGTTCCAGGACACAGAAGAGGTTACAACTGTTGTGTGTCAATAATATGCATGTCCAAGTGTAAGAAACAGAAAGGAAAAACATTATCAGCTGGATTCGGCAATGTTAAAAATGGGTGATATATTTGGTTACACAAACACCATTATCTGTGGACGCAAAATAGGTTTAAAATAAAAGTCTTAAAAAATACACTTAGCAGAACAATGTTTTCATAAAAGAACCACCCTTGTGCCCTGGTGGAATGGTTCCAGTTTATACACTGGGTTTGTATTTGAGTTAAACATGCCACCCACATGTCCAACAAATGCAGTAGTCAAAGAGGTGGGGAGGAGGTGGAAATCACATTCTTGTCCCACTGCAATGGTTAAGCAATAAAGAAAATACCTCCTCAGCAAATTAAGCTTCCTTCCCAACTCCCGAGCCCTTCCATAAATTTCCCTTACCATTCTGAAGCTCTGAGTAGCTTTCGTTTCCACAGTCCGTAAGACTTCTCGCAGATCCCGCATTCCTTTCACGATATTTCTAAGAGGAAGGCAAAAGCAGCAGGATTAAAACAGACTATTTTTATGATATGCAAATATTGTGCAAGAAATTGTGCAAGAAAAACCCTAAAAAAAAAGATAACTGCTCTAACGTTGAGTGAATGGCAAAGAAGCAAGCTACTCGATGTTGGAAGGGCAATGACAAACTGAGTGAGGCACAATCAGTAGCATGTCTCACAGGAAGCCATCTGGAGGAGAAGATCACGTTCACATTTGAAGAACAGAGGGGACATTTGGAAGCTGTTCATAGATCACATTGATAAAGCAGATGCTGCTCCTTCAAAGTGTCTGAATCTCCTCATTGCATGTACATAACATACTCATTTGGATTAAAACTGAGCACGCGTGATGTTCATAGATGATGACTCCGGTTTGGTTGTGATTAAACATCTTATTATTGAAAATGTGGAAAGAATTAGGTAATATACCATTATACTATAATTAGACTGGCATAGGACAATGATCCACTCCAGTTGTATCCTGGTATAACTCCTTGCATGAACACGCTTTTTCCAAATTAAGAGCAGTTTTATTTGGGTTTACTTTATACCAAACCTGTCTGGCTCCTCAGCAGTCAAAAGCATATGCCCTGGATGCTGCACCAGCAGGAACTGCACACCCGACTTCATGCATATGCACCCAAAAGGATGCCAGTTTTAAAGCAGGGCTGTATAACATTCCAAAATGGCATAAACTAAATTTGAAAGAATAGCAGCGTCCACGTAAGCAGTGCACTTATAACAGCATCAGTAAAATTCACATCTGAACTTGTTTATATATTTTCCCATACAGAAAATTCTAAATTTCCTAAAAGCTAAAAAAGAAAAGTGGAACTGGTCATGCACATTAAGAGATTTTCTATAAATATCTGATTCGGTATCTGATTCAGGCCATCTTGCTTCCATTTGTGTTCAAGCCCCTTTAATGTTATATTGCACAAACATTCTATCAAGGACATCTAATGGCAGAGGAGAGTTGGAGCGGGCTGTTCTAGCTGTGATGGTCCAGGAAACATGCTAGAAGTAAGGTATTTTTAGTGATATATTTTACTGGACCAACTGTACTGTTGGGAAGAGATGTTAGAAAAAAAGAGGCCACTATGGGCCTAAAAGGTTATCTAAATACCATTCCCAATGATCAGCTGGCCAAAAAGAAAGAAAGATCAGCAAGAAAACCCAAACTTTGCTTCTTGTTTGATGGCAAAAACATAAGAAAAGGTAAAAATTTAACTACTGAAGCATACTGTTGAATATTAGTTGTAAATTGGCTCTCAGGAATATTCACACTGGACACTTCACGCTAAAAGTTGCATTCATCCAGTGGGAAATTGGAAAACACCATGCGACTTAAGGTCCAATCATAACTAATTAACATATTCCAAAATTATAAATACATAATTTAATACATAATCTCATAATTATCTATTCATGCACAATCTACAGGAAAATAATTATTCATACAAACAACTATGAATAAATACGATAGAAAAAATAGCGCACAGTTCAGAAACAATTTGTAAAAATATCATAGTAAATAACTTGCTTAACATATAGCAAACAAAGTGAAATATTTTAAGCAGAAAATATAATTTGTATGCATCAAGGACAGGAGGCTTGAAAAAGTTTCTATGTTGGACCTTAAGCCTGAAACAAAAACTTACAAGAATTTGTGTAGTTGCCTACCTTATTGCCTTCTACAATGAGAAAACTGGCTCTGTGGATGCAGGGAGAGCAGTGGATGTGATGTACCTTGACTTCAGCAAGGCTTTTCATATGGTCTCCCTCAACATTCTCACAAGCAAGCTAAGGAAGTATGGGTTAAGTTAATGGACTGGAAAGTGGACAGAGAACTGGCTGTATCATCAGGCTCAAAGGGTAGTAATCAATGGTTCGATGTCTAGTATCAAGAGGAGTACCCCAGGGGTTCATTTTGTTCAATATCTTCACCAATAATTTGGAAGATGTGATGGGGTGCACCCTCAGTAAGTTTACCAATGACACCAAGCTTGGGGGAACAATACATACACTGGAAGGTAGGGGTAGGATTCAGAGCGACCTCGACAAGTTGAAGGATTGGATCACAAGAATTTTTATGAAGTTAAAAAAGGTGAAATGCAAAGTCCTGCATTTAAGACGAAGCAATCCAATAGATCAATACAGCCTGGGGAACAATTGCCTAAGCAGCAGCTCTGCAGAAAAGGACCTGAGGATTGCAGTGGACAATAAGCTGAATATTGGGCCAATAGTGTGCCCTTGGAGAGGCTGAGGGAACAGGGCTTAATTAGTCTGAAGAAGGGAAGAATGAGGGGGGATTTAATAAGTGCCTTCAGTTACCTGAAGGGTGGTTCCAAAGAGGATGGAGCTAGATGGTTCTCAGTGATAACAGAACAAGGAGCAACAGTCTCAAGTTGCAGCAAGGGAAGTTTTGGTTAGATGTCAGGAAGAATTTTCTCACTAGGAGGGTAGTAAAACACTAGAACAGGTTACTCTGAGAGGTTGTAGAATCTCCATCCTTTCAAGACCTGACTAAACAATACCTTGGCTGGGATGATATAGTTGGGGATGATCCTGCTTTGAGCAGGGGGTTGGACCAGGTGACCTCCTGAGGTCCCTTCCAACCTCATTTTCTATGAGTCTATGATCTTTTGACAAGTTAGCAGTCCCACTGCAAGCTGCAGCACTGTTTATAAGGTTGGAGTATTTATTGCTATATAGTGGAAATCCAAACCATGAAGTCAACTTCCTGATTACTCCTCTAAAGTTATGTCTACACTGCACCATACAGTGCCATGCAGACCCCTGATTTAGTTCTGCACTATACAGATTCCTGATTTAGTTCTGAATGAGCTGGCTTGGTTACCATAAGCAATAAAGCCATGTTAGCATGGCACTCTGCCTGGGCTAATTTACTCTGCTTCCAGCCTACAGAACACTGCATTGTGCATTGCAGATATAGTCTATGCGATGCAAAAAAGCAAGCAAGGCAAGGCGGCCCCTTAAAGACTAACTAGTTAGGTGTCTCTCCTTTGAGTGGCATCTAAGTGGTCATTTTCAACTGTCCTCAGGAATAGATGCTCAAAAAAGTTAAGCAGGGAAACACCCAAATCAAGGTGACTACTGAGACTACTTGAATTTTAGTCTTTAAAGTGCCACTGTGTCCTGCTTTCTGCCTGACTTCAGATTAACATGGCTAATTACCCCTCTCTGCAAAAATATCCAAGCCTCCTCTGCTGCCAGCAGGCCTGAAAGAATAGTTATATTGGGGAATGTTTGTCCAGTATTTTCAAGTAAGTACTCATTTTTGTTACGATAAAAACTTTTGCTCTTAAGTGCCACTAATTTAAATTAAATAGGGTTGGAAAGAGGATTAGTTATGGTTTGTTGTGCCAATAATACCACAGTTCATACACACTTATTGGCGACAAGGAACACACTAAAGAATACATGTGCAAAAAAACAGCTTGTGCTGACAAGAAATTGTTTTAATCCCATTCTTTAAATAATAAAGCATGAAGACAGGGACTTTATTTTTCAACCCATAGAAAGACTTATCAAACTGAACAAAAGGATGAATAGAATTACTTGACACTTAATAGCTTATATGGAGGTACCCATGAAGGGGCCAGATTTTCAAGAGAGCTCAGAACCCAGATATGGCCAGGAGTGCTTTGTGAAATCTAACCATTTCACCTAGGTGCCCGAAAAAGAGTTGAGAACTTTTGATAAAATAGCTCCAACTGTGGAAATGGGGCACCTGAAAAACCTGGCATATATTCTGTGCACCTCTATGACAACAGCAAGAATTCTGGATGAGCGATGATATAGTTTGGCTTCTTTTTGTTTTCAAATTTGCATCAAATAATGCTAAGACCCAGCATCAAAAAATGCAGCAAGCAAATTTCACTGCAGGGTTTGCCTTTAGTTTCCAGTTCCAGAGTAAGAAAGCATCTGAGCACACACTGAATTTTAAGCATGCAGGTAGTCCCACTGATGACACTTAGCCTATTCACATGCAAGAGAGGCTTATGACATTTTCCCAAAGCAAAACCTAAAATAACTTACCAAAGAGAGACACACATCAATAGTGTTATTTTTGACTGAAAACAAATAACAGAGATGAAGATTCCTTATGATCCCGTAATATGGGCATTAACAAGATCGCTAGAGTTTAGCGAAAATGATGGCAGTATTTTACTCCAAAAGGTCCTTTACATAGCTGTATTAAATAATATTCTGAGGTACATTTGTGAACATTAAGAAAGAGGAGAGTGGGCAAATTAGGGGTGCCTTATGGTTTAACTCTGATGCCAGTGAAGCAGTCTTTAATAACACAACAGTCTAGCTATGTATTAAAATGTATCATTCTAGTTTAGTGATAAAGCAACTGAACACATATGGTGCACTTCAAGCAAACAGAGCTCAAAGCACTTTATAAACATACTTGGAAAATATTTAAGCTCTCAATTATTTAGAAATGCACACTGAATACAAGGATTTGAAATGCAGATTCTCTACACTAGTAAAATAAGAGAATTTACAAGAGTTAAGACATAATGAACTGAACTGGAATCTGGCCAAAATGTCTGCTCTACATTAACACCCATCCTGCAACAAAAATGCCATAAGAGATGTGATGACAGTAAGTTATCAGGATCTCATTGTTACCTTTAATTCACTAGCTGCCCATGACAGTCATCATCTCTAACAGATGGTAAAGTTCACCTTGAGATGAATGTATTACAGAAAAAGAGCTGGCACTGTCACCCTTCCCAATTATAGTTGTACCTGCTCATAGCGTGCAGCTGGTGCCTTTTGGAATTACATCTGGCTGCAGTATGAGACTACTGCTATGGCTTCAAAGTAACTTTCATCTTTGTTCCATTTCTGTCAGTTTTCTCTAGTTTTGGCCCTCCCTGTCCTTTCTGTTTACCAAACAGATTGCTAAGGCAACACTTCACACTCCTGTAAATGCAGATGCAAA